ACGTGCACACAAGACGCACGCTTGTGCAGTGAAAACAAATGAAAATGACGATGATTTTGGGGTTTTTTTCACAGCTTAAAGTGAGAGCTTTTTTAAATGATATTTTACTATAATGAAAGGAAAGGGGAGATGGGGAAGAAAAGACTATGTACTTAAAGTATTGGGGAGAGGGAGACTTGGGACGGGAAAGGCACAGCTTACATCGCGACGATGCCTAAAAGCCAGGCACCAACGTTCTCCATTCTCTCCTCCTGAGAGACGTCCACCGGTGCTGCTGCTGCTTCTTGTTCTTCTTCATCATCGCTGTTGCTGCTGCTCTTGCTGCAGCTGCTCTTGCTATTGCTACTGGCACTGCTACTGTTGCTGCTCTTGCTACTGCTGCTGCTGCTGCTGCTGGCGCTGCTGTTGGTGCTAGTAGCGCTGCTGTTGGTGCTAGTGGCGGTGGTGGTTGCGTTACGGCGATGGCGGCGGCGACTCTTCGCAGTCACTGTCACTTTCTTGACACGACCGCCCCGGCCTATTTTGATCTTTGTGATCAATTTGCTTATGTACTTGTTTCCACTGACCTTTGTAATGAATTTCATATTGAAAGTAGCGAAAGAAGGAATGAGGGGAAAAAAAGGGATAATTTATTTGGCCTTTTTATGTTTTTTCTGGAGTTACACAGAAATGCACATGACCCAAAAACCATTCGGGTTACACACGCACTCTCAGGAGACGGCCAATCTATTGTTCGACTTGCTCACCACGTCTCTCTGTAATCATGACTAGGGGTTACTTTGCTTGTCGTTGTCACTTTTGTGAGTCGGCCAGCACGGTGAGCCGTTACCTTCGTTAGCTTGCGCTGTTGGGAGTAGTGACTGCTTTCATATTCCCAAGTCTGAAAAGTGAGCAGAGAGTATTACTTTGCAGTGGTTCTATAGTTGATCAGCCGATTCCCCAAAAAAGGAAAAAGATAAAGAGTTGACAGCATCACGTGCCCACCCAGGTCTTGCCATCTTACACAAGCACACTGGACACGCGGAGAAACGCGTCGCTCATCTCAAAAGGCAATGGCATTCAACCTGACATTTCCCTTTGCAATGTGCACGTTCCAGGCTACATGCACACACTAATCTCGTCTTTGTGCATGGCTATTTCCAAAGTGTTTTGGCTCAGCCATCTCGGTATTCAAGTCGAGGGTGGCGAGAAGCGATCAAGTCGTACCGGTACAGGGAGGTCACTAGTGTGAGTTGCAGAGCTCGGAGACCTTCCAGCCACTTTATCTCTTAGTCTCTGTATCCCACGCGTTGCTTAGAGCGTCATCACCATCATTGGTTACAAAAAGAAAGATCAAATGGTCGACAACCCGGAAAAGATAATTCATCCAAGATATATAATCCTTTCCTGTCACCCGTTCCCCTCTGTCACCGATTCCACCGCAGCAGCAACATCAATCACCACCGCCAGAACACCAAGCTGCCCCCACAACTCCTCTTTCCACCCTACGCTCTCTCATAGAACCATTATTGCTAATTTTACTTCTTTAACCTCTATTGTAGACCCAAAGAAAAAAAAATTCAAAATCTATTTAAAAAACATATGTGCCACTTGTTTATGCATGCGATCACTGAAAGTTTCTCCCATTCGAACTTGTAGCCCACAAAAGAAAAAATACACCGAGAAAAAGTACTTGAAAAACCTACAAAAAAAAGAAAGCTCTATGAAATTCTGTTAAGCTGAGGGCGCTGCTATTACGCGGGCACAAAGACAGGGCTATTAACATTGCTGTCGATTTGAAGAGGACCTCCTATTGCCTCCTCCTGTCTTCTTTTCCGCTGTTCTCGTTTCTCTCCCAATCCGTATCTGCCTTCTGTTTCCGCCCTCCTCGGGCTTCTTCTCTTCCGCTTTCCGTGGTGTTCCTTTATGGTGTGTTGCATCTTTGGGCACTTTTTGGGCGCGCGCTCGTTGCGCACGGCGGCTTGGCTGGGCTGTGGTTGCCGTAAGTGATTAATCAATGACTATCACGCCTAAAATAATATACCGATGAAACCGAATAACATCTGCAGGTTTTGGGTGGTACGGCCACGGTGCTCGCGGGTGTCTGGCGGTCTCCGCCTTCATCAGGCGATGGGGAGCATTCCAGACATCTCGATTGATGGTTTCTTCAAAGTAAAGAAGGTAAGGGTTGGCAATCGCATTGGCGGTGGCACTGGCTACAGCCACCGGGGGTGAAGGGGTATGGGGGCAGGGCACACGGGGATAGCGATGATGGTAGAGCCGGTGGTGGGGAGGGGAGCAACGCTCTTTTTGTATAGGCAACAAGGATACACCATCGAGGCACATGTACAGCGACAGCAAATGACAGCCCAAGGCGCCGAGCTTGTATAGTTATGGTACGTACTATGTTTTCTTTCATACCTACAACCATTTTGTAACAAGAGGCTTACTAACTGATATACATATCCTTTTTCCTTTCTTTATTACCTTCTTCGTATCGCATTCACCTCAGATGGGATGTGAAGTAGGCGAAAGAGAGGCCAGTTATTAAGAATTCACTTCTTTCCGTTGTCATACCAGTCAGTTCCAGCTCATGTGGATGGTGTTCCTGCAGAAACCCTTTGCAACCTGAGCAGTGTTGTTTCCCCAATCTCCCACCGGTTGTAGTCAGTGTCACTGCCACGTTAATCCAACCTCAATCCTTCGCCTTTGCCTTGGGGACTCCTGAAGCTGGGATGTCCGGGCTGGGTGTGTCTGGCGTGCGGTGTGGTGGTACGCCGCGATGGAGAAGCTTCAGCTTTCCAGGCTAGCCGAGTAAAAAAATCCGGGGGTTGCGAGAATCCTGTCTTTAGCTTGATCACGTCGCTCCGTGTGTTCTTTATGAATGACAAGCAGTCATGGTGGTGATACTGCTACTGATAGCGTCGAATATTCTTGCGCGCCCACAGAAGTGACTACTTGCTGATTAAAGAGAGGGCTGCGAAATTCAGGAAGAAGGCGGAGGAAACGCTGAGTGGACAGCATGTTGGAGACGAAGATGAGCTATCAAAGTGAAGAGAGTGACCTACATGGGCTCTATCGCCATGAATCGGACGACCATTCATACACTATTTTGAGAATTATGACCTAAGGATCTACGTACAGAAAACGATGTTAGTTGAGCGCCAAAGATACCAAACAATTGTACACGTAATCTGTTATCTAATCATTACCTTTTGCTCGTCACTATCCTCATGAATCTCACCTTCCTGAGACTTAAGAAACTTTCCGGTAGCATCGTGCTTCAAACCAATGAAGTTACTGGAGTACAAGTGCTATCTTTCGTCTCATGGCGCAAAATCCAATGATTATCGTATCCTCAAAGTGTACTACTTACCCGTATTGCACGGCTCCATTTTGGGGTCGACGGACTCTTTTTAAGAATATTAACTGTTAGCCGTGTACTCCTTAGCGAATCTTTTTCATGTCATTATCTTTACTAACGCATGTTGTAAGAATATAATTGAACTTAAAAAGGAAACGAATAATGTACACGGACCAACGCGTCTTTATATTTTCATGGAAAGATACCTGTTGTGTAACACCACTTGCAGATGTCAGTGCCTGCAACACTATCAGCTGCGTTTTTCGAACGCCCAACCTCCCCCTTTGGATGGGGATCTAATCAGCGCTGGCAAGTACACAGTCAAAGGCACAAAATCATAATATATGGTACATGCAACTGCAGGTTACTCTGTTGCTGCGTGCGTGTATGCAGGAAGATGATCTCTCGTCGGCCGAGAAAAGTGCTTGAGAAAGACAGCTGAAACGTGTACTGTCTGTTTGATATGGCACAGTTCTCACAGCACCGAGCTTTATATTTAAACTTTATAACTGAGCAATTAATCGTCGGCAGAAGTACCTAACATATTTCTCAACAACCACGATTGTATCTTCTTGAGTACCTAAACAAGAGAAAAACGGGGATAAGTTTCTCCCATGTCAATAGTTATGGCAAGGTTCATTGTTGCTTTGCTCATGCACTATAAGGCTCAAAGAATTGCGTCATGACGTCAAAGGATTAACCGGTGTGTTACCGTTCTATTATCAAAGATTACTTTGTAGAGTTCCATCCTCAAAACAATAAAGGGCTACACAAGAATTGTCACGGACCCAATGGTACCGCTAGTCAGACAAGGGAGCGGAGGTCGTGGATTGCCCGTTTATAGAAACAAAATATTGTATTAATTCTACTTTTACTGACAAAGTGGCAGTATCCATCAAACGAGAACAATCATAGCAGCCACTTCACTGTCTGCTGTAGTAGGTTTTCCTACTCCTCATATCTATATACCGATACTTTTCTTTCTCTGATGAACTGATTGTTTGTCAAGTAATATGTTAATACAAAGAAGCTTCGGGATGACTTGTCCACACCCTTGGATCGTTTAGGACAGAGTACTTTGCAATCACATACCTATAGAAATATTACCGGGCAATCATAGAAAAGATCCATTGGCATGACTGATCATAGGTATAAGCAAATGTGGCAAAATTCGAGTATGTAGTTGTATAATACAGATCGACGCCCGAAAAGTATGGCAGATTCAGCAAGCAGCTTGTCAAAAAATCTTTGGCTTACGAACTATTTACTAGTAACAGAAGATTGTATCAATCATACAAACAGATATTCGAAACAGTAGAGCATTGTAAAAATCTATTAAAAACCTGATTCAAAGTATTAAATTGTTGTTAATGAAATCGAGACCCTATATTGCTATCGTGAGGTGTATGTAAATTTATAAATTACATATAACAACTTTAAGACATGCTAGCTCATTGCCTTGTTTTTCCTGATCTGGATCACATGCTGACCATCAAAAACAGGCCGTACTTGTATCACGTACAATCCTTACGCTCTGCGTTCTTAGACCAGAGCTCTCATACCACCAAGTTGGCTGATGTATAAATAAGGCTCATCTTTATTTCTCTCTGCTTTTCTTTTTGCTCTCATACTCCTCCCCCACTGTATTGCTTAACGAATGAGCAGTTCACCGCTTTTGCCTTCTCATAACACCTTTACTTCAGGACCTTTCCAAGGACTCATCTGCCGCGAGCTTACCAAGGCGATCGAAAATCAAGAACACGTACAAGTCGTAAATTACGCCGATGACATGCTCCAGTCCCACTTGCTCAAGGTTCTAGATGCCCGAGCTTATGGCAACTGCATGCAAGGAAAATGCAGTCTTGCAATAGAAGATGCTCAACGCATGATTGATTTCTCACCGACAGTGGCTGATGGATACCTTCGAAAAGGTGACATTCTCTCAATGTACGGACGACAGCGCTGTGCGATTGCGACTTATGATACCGGCATGGAAAGGATCAAAATGGACGAAGACAACGAGCAGCAGATCGAGCAGTTGGTGCTTAGCACAACCGAAGCGATCATTCTAGACGCCAAGCGTATTGATTTCATTGCCAGGCTTCCGATCGACATCGTTGACCTTATTCTCTTGCTATTGCCCAAGGATACAAAAGCCGCGTGCCTTGCAGTATCCACAGCTTGGCGCAGAAAGGTACTAGAATGCAAGACCGCATGGAAGCGCGTAGTTCTTGATGACAGCCCGGAAGATCTGGACGTATTTGTTGGCGCCATCCAGTTCATTGCTCCTAGTATTGAGCACTTGACAATAAACACTGAAGTCGAGGCCACCCGGCTAAAGTATTTACGATGTATGAGACGCGGCTGGTTTAAAAGGATCCAATCATTCAAATTGACATGTGAGTGAGCATGAGTATATCTACACAAATTCTTCTATCTGAAAGGTCTCTGGTATAACTGATTAGTTTCTTTTCCCTATCCGTTAGGCATTGCTACTCAAAATATGCGACCATACACTCTTTTGTTCGCGCACGCGTTTTGGCAGACATGCCACACGTTGACCAAACTCAACATCGATCTCGGTGACAGCCACAGCTTCATCACATTGGCAGAAGTCCTTTCATCATGTGTTACCATTACTGACTTGACTTATTCCACCACCTCGTCCATGTCTGCCGTGACAGGCGATTTTTCGGTGTTAGAGTCAAACCGGATGCTTACGAATCTGGAGCTAAAAGCTACTGCTATCACGGGTCGTGAAATGGAATCCGTCCTACAGCATTGCTTTCGAATCCACCGGCTAGTAATCAACGGATGCGACCCTTCCGTCTTTGATCCTATCGACCGACTTGCTCCCTATCTCGAAATCTTAGCATACAACCATCCGAACCCTGTTCCCGAGCTCTATCATCACAAAGAGCAACAGGGAAAAGTCAACGACAGCAACAACGGTAGCAGCAGCAACAGCAGCAGGGGAGGAGAACAAAAAACCGGTTTGCGAATGATCTACACCAATAATGGCGGCCGCTGTGTGCCCACCTCAGCCCTTTTCCCTTTGCTCTACAAGAATCAAAAAACACTCGAGACCGTATTTGTCATGCTTTCTGATCTCACACGGGCCGAAGTGTGTCAATTTAAAACACACTATGCGGATTTCAAGATGGACAAGTTGACAAGCTTTACTTTTTGGCCGCTGCGGGCGATACAGCCCTTCCTTCTCCGGTCGATTAACCGTGCTGCTGCTTTGACCTGCTTACGTATCGCCGAAGTGTCCGATTTGAGGGCTATCATCAAGGTACTTCTGGACATGCCGCCACTCGAAACGTTTGCTATTTCCCACATGCCACGGATGAGCTCCAATGCAACAACAGCCGCTTGTGGCACAAGTCTCATTCAGCTGTTTGAACGTTACGCGTGCGTGTCCATGTCTCAACCATCACTCCGATGCATTACCTTCCGACACTGTCATGTTGTTACAGATGCTGTACTTGCTGCACTGGCCCATATCAAGACATTGGAAAGCATTACGTTAAGTAACTTGGAGCGTGTTACAGCAGCCGGGCTACAGGAATTCGTCCGCTCCATGAGCGAGCAAGTAAAATCTATTACCCTTACTGACATGGAATCCGCTACGAACGACGTCATTGCCGAATTAGGGTCATGTGCTTGTCTAGAAGAAGTATCGCTTGATAGTCTATCCAAGTTGACAGATGATGGTTTGAACTTTTTTATTGAAAGCCCAATTCCTGCGTTGACCAAACTGACCCTGAGAAAATGCCCTTTGGTAACTGAAGAGTGTCTAGTTGCTGTAAAAGAAAATGTCAAAGTGGTTATTCAAGATGATTGAATATTTTCAAATGAATAAATCTGTTTATTAAACTAAGTATCAATAATCACATTTAAGAGAAAGCTGATAACATATTATGCCTTTTCAATGACTGAAGCACGAACGTCATTAACGATAGTTATCACGACTTCAAAAATCTTAATGAAAATAAGAGCTGGTTGCCGAAAATCCTTACTTCAACCAACAAAGCCTGAAGAAACGTTTGACGGTCTGTATATATCAACGAGATGCAAGAATTCATCGTTCGTAATACGACGACACTACTTTAGGCGGCTTAAGCAGCATGCTAATGGATCACTTGGATGTAACTTCAGCTAGAGAAAGTGAAGTTGTGACCTTTTCACTCGGCATACTTTGATTCAGGACAATGCTACTTGGTGTGGTTTCTGTACGATCCTAGTTAGATAAGAGTGATCTAGGCCTTACCCCACTTTAGAGCTTATGATATAGCTCTAGAACTTATCCTTGTTAAGATACCTTGAGGGGGAAAAATCAGGTCAAGAGAAAAGAAAAGCTATATGGACTCACTGACAACAAAGTGAAACTGTTGCTATGGGGAACAACGATTATGTAATCGTCCAAGGTTACCCCATCATAATACAGGGCAAAAAAGCAAAAGTCAAGCTTCTAATTCCGAAAAAAATGTTTTTGGATTTGCCAAATCTAAAAGAAGGAACAACGACGACGGGCTCTTATTATTATTATTCCCCCCTTCAACAACTTATACAACTCGCACGTCCTTCTTTCCAGGTCATGTCACCTTCCGTTATGACGTCTGAACGCATTTCCCTTGGTGATGTTACACCCAACAATGTGGGTCAATTACGTAAATTGAATCAGGTCATTTTCCCTGTCAATTATGCTGAAAAATTCTACCAAGACGTTTTGGAAGTGGGTGAACTTGCAAAACTAGGTAACTTTTGATTCTGAACTACTAGCTTTTATAGCTCACATGGGTGATTTCGTTTTTTTTTTAATTGTAACTTGCTAATCGACATTCTTGTGTTTTTTTAAAAATATATAGTTTACTACAATGACGTATGTGTCGGTGCAGTATGCTGTCGCAAAGAAACTAATGACAAGGAAACGCGAGTATACATGATGACCTTGGGCGTGTTGAAGCCATACCGACAGCTTGGTTTAGGTTAGCCTTACGACGACACACCATTACAGAAGAAAAGAGGTGGGCGGGATGTGTGGGAGAGTTTTAAACTAAACAAAGAATGAATGATATTAGGCCGTCGTCTTTTGGACCATATTTTGGAACACGCATCAGCTTATTCATCGATCTATCTGCACGTTCAAATCACCAACGGATCGGCATTGAACTTTTACAAGAAGAACGGCTTTGAAGTTGTTGACACTGAAAAGGATTACTACAAGCACATTGAGCCACGAGATGCTTATGTTTTGCGCAAGGCTTTATAATCAATATGATGGAAGCAGTTTATCTTCTTTCTTTTTTGCTATGGAAACGTAAATATATCATCATCTCCTTTGGCACCTATCATTCCGCAACTCCCATCAGCAATCCCCTCCTTTGCACACGTACACTACTTTTTGGAAACAGCAAACCCCATCCCACCCCACACCCTACATCTTTTTTTTTTCCGTCTATTTTTTAATGGAAATCTTTCGAAAACCTATAACATTTCGCACCGTAACAAGACAAACCTTGGGGGGGCAAGCATATATCTACAAACAATGGGGATGACTGATATGGGAGTTCACATGGGTTAATGGAAAGGACAATTGTTCTTTGTCAGTGAGAAATCATCCCATGAGTTATGACAAAATAAATTCCGTTTGAACAGGTTGTACCTTTTTCTGTGCTGTTTCAATTATTTCTCAGAGCAGATAGAAACAATGCAAGGTAATGTGTTATTGCTACCATATCATAGATTGACATATATCTGATTGTTTATTTATGCTTATTATTTCCTCCCTTCCCTCTCTCTCTCTCTCTCTCTCCATATAATTCATTAATTGTTTAGCAGCCCTGAGAACCCTTATTCAACAGCTGCAAGCTCATCGTCCGCTACATATCGAATCGCCAGCTGAGCAACCACGACGAGCTGGAGTTGCTGCCATTCTACGATGTCGTCCTTCTTCACACCAAAAACAACCTGTTGATGCCAAACCTGCTTCTACCATTAAAGAATTTCTAGATCAACCGTGGGTTAATGACAGTGAACCTGAATTGTTGTTTATCCAGCGAGCCACACGAGCTACCGACAGGTAAAGTCATTATTGTTATAGCTATTTTTTTCAAGAAAAGAACACACTGGTTCTTTTCATAGACTGACGTCCAATGTGTTTATAAAAAAAAAAAGATGGTCAGGTCATGTCGCATTTCCAGGAGGAAAGGATGAGCCGGGTGAAAATGACGAACAGACGGCAGTGAGAGAAACCATGGAAGAAATTGGACTTGACCTAGCAAGCCCAGCGTTTTTGCCTGTGGGGACGTTGGATGCTCGGGAGATTTCAAACATGAAGGGCGAATTGATGATGGTTTTGGTGCCACACGGTAAACTTCGGAAGAATATGATGGGGATGGGGGGTTTTTGGATGATAAAGGGGGTAGTAGTAGTAGAAGTGGGGTATAATTAATCATTTGGGTTTATGTCGGCTTGTTCTAGTGTATATTCAGGTGGTACCCGATACCCCTCCTTTGACCATCCAGGAATCCGAAGTCGCTGCTGTTCAATGTAAAATGATGACCCTTTGCAACAACAACAGAAGCAACATGAAAGTAATAGCCAACACGTCTTCCACTGTGATTTAGGGGTCCCATTACGATACTTTTTATCCACCTCACCTTATCCCGATTCGCCTCTCCGAAAATCGTTTGTCATTGGCAACGTCTCGTTTCCTGCAATAGACCTTCCCACGGACAACGAGAACCATCGGATGCAGCTCTGGGGCCTGACACTCGGGATGACGCGCGAACTTATCGAATTGACCGAGGTTGCTGCTGCTAGTAGTAATGGCGGGAGGCCTGCATGGCAGCAATTTGTAACGATGGCAAAGGCTTATCCCAAATTCTCGTTTAAAGACATGAATGTCTTGATTCGATTCTTCATGTATCTCCAACCCCCACAAAGGTAAAACAAAAAAGTTACAAAGTAACACTGTGTAACGCTCATTGGCGGGTAAAACTGACACATACAATATAATTACACGGATCGATGGATGGTGAAAACATTACTATGTATAATATAGAAAACAAGATGTAGAAAGGGTGTATATGGCATCGCTTCGCAAGGCTATCTATGTGGCTGTCATATGGCGCGCAGTACTCGGTGTGGCGGTGGTGGGATTGCTAGGACGCAAATTGCTGCTACATTTGCGTCTAAAGAAGTGACATATATAAAGTGTGTGTGTGCGGTGATAAATGATAATAAAATTTTGACTTTTTGGAATACTCCTTTGGACGTTTTGTTCAACCTAAGCGGTGTCGCGCCATGCAGCGTAGATCTGGAAGACAGCTGCAAATCCGCCAAACACACCCACCATGGCATCTGAAATCAAACCCTTCTCCAGTGACCAGTGGACCGTGAGTGGCAAGTATCTGAGTTTCAATGCGTTAGCGATGAGTAACTCGAAAAAAAACATTCCCCTTTGAAAATCAGAAACATTTTTTTACCCTGAATTAATCATGGTGTTGACAAAGATGGATGCCCGTTCAGCCTTGATGGAAGCCATTTCGGCCTCTGGATCCTCGTCCGTCTCGATATCACCCGCCTTGATCCGCTTCAACAATCCGGTCTCACGCTTCTTCATGAGACGATACTGTTCGGCCAACCGACCGTATTCCATGACAACCCAAGCGGCCCAGAAACGACAGCTCCAGATACCAATGGAGTTTGTCTTTTGTTCCGAGACGGGCAAGACGTTGTGTGCGGCCAGCCAGTAAACGTGCTCGAGTGGATAGTAGATGATCATGGACAAGTTCTGCACGCGTTCAATGTTGAGTGCTAAGGACGTCTTTGGCGGGTTGTATTCCAAGTAGTTCATGTATTGCACCATCGGCAACAGGCCGTAGTAACGCAGCAGGATACGGAAGTCGCTGACGGGTGATGCCAAGTTCTGAATTCGTTTGGCTGCAAGGCCACCAGCTCGTTTGTTCAAGAACCAAATCAGAATCTTGGACCAATATTGGATAAACTATTTCGTGTGTGTGTGTGTGTGAAGGTTAAAATATCTCATTACTCATGCCGAACACTCAGTTCTGCCGTATTCTCTCATTTCTTACCATAAGCACTTTGTCGGTGCCTCGCACAGTGTTCAAGAAGCGAACCAGGTGGTCGAGCTTGGGGTTCGATTGACCGAGCAACTTAGCAATAGCGAGCGGATTCAAAGGCTTTGACATGTTTGATGTGTGTGTGTGTGTGTGTGTGTGTGTGTGTGTGTGTGTGTGTGCGTATGCTGTGGAGGAGAAAGAGAGAAAGAAAGAGAGGAAAAAAAAGGAACAGGAAGAATAGTTGATGCTCCACCCAACCCCCGCATGTGATAAATTGGGCAACGAGATTTGAATGGAATGAAACACCGACGCAAGTTCCTCTCTTTTTTTTGGTACAACCCGATTATGCTGCATTGACAAGGGTTCTCACTGTCTCTCTTTTCTTTCCTTCTTTCTTTCTCGTCAAAACAACTCGTAGAATGCAACAGCAACAGCCCGATGTGCATGATACACTTGATGTCAATAGTGCAGCCACTGTTTCTGCCACAGCCAACCAAGTAAAGACGCAGCAACGACGAGCAACTGCGCACATACCCAACCACGACGACCACATTCCTGACGTACTCAATTATCTCTGTAAGGCGCAGTATTACACACACACACACATCTCTCCCTCGGATTCAACCAAACATGGATTATACAAACATAATAGAGAGCTAATCTGTTATTGTTCTCTATTTTGGAACAAAAGCCAAAGCACGAGTCAAATGGAGACACAACAGCGATACGATCCTTATTGTGACCAAAGCCAAAGATCATCGGCTGTTGCGTTACACCCGCTGTTTGGCCGAATGGCTGATCGCAACCCCTCGCTTTGGCAAACAGCATCCATTCACCGTGTAAGCTCGGGATTCATATGTAGCATGCACCTTGAAAATGGCTAAAATACAATGAAAGCTATGTAGACGGCCATCTCCAAGACGCCAAGAGTTTCCAATACCAGAAATTGTGCGAGAAAGATCCCATCTTTAAAGAGAAGCTAAAGTTCTGGACACCCCGACTATGCCATGAAAACCCCAGTTTGTTTCATTTAATCATCACAGTAAGTTACTATACATCTTCTATGGACATATGCAACGTTCTACTATGTAGCAGGATCTAACGTAACAATGACGATGCGGGTTTTTTATTAGCTCGGTGGCGACGGTACAGTACTATTTACGTCATGGCTTTTCCAGACCGTTGTTCCGCCTGTCATGTCCATCCATCTCGGCTCGTTGAACTTTCTTGCGCCATTCCCATACACCAGCCATCGAGAAGCGCTTGACGAACTATTCGAAGGGGAAGGGTTCCGGAACACGGTCCGGATGCGCTTGTCATGCACCGTCTATCGCCATCAAGCGGACAAGCCAGACACATCCCATGAAAGCGTTTCCGAAGAAAAACGAACGAGTGTCATGGAGACAGCGTGGATGAAGAAGCAACTGCTCCATGAAGCGAAGCGTATATCGGAGGCGGAGCGACAGTGCTTGAAAAAGGCCATCCCGTGTTATACAACCGTGCCGTTCGAGACATATGAGGTGCTCAATGAATTGGTGGTGGACCGTGGACCGAGTTCGTACATGTCTGTGCTTGAGTTGTTTGGAGACGAACGACACTTGACCACGGTGCAAGCGGATGGGTTGGTGATTGCCACACCCACGGGATCAACTGCTTACTCGGTAAATATCATGTGTGTCTCCCCATACTTCAAAAAAAGAAATGGGCTTTTGTATGGGTTGAGAGAGTAGAGTTACTGATAAAAGCGGCCGGTGTAGCTATCGGCACATGGATCGCTTACGCACCCGGATATCCGAGCCATCCTGGTGACACCTATTTGCCCACACACATTAAGTTTTAGGCCAATGTTATTGCCAGAAACAATGTCGATTCGTGTTGTTGTCCCGTTCGGATCAAGCAGACCTGCCTATTGCAGCTTTGATGGGCGTAACCGCGTGGAACTCAAACGTGAGTTTCTCTCTGGATGAATTAAGATATAAAGAGAGAAACTGACTTATTTGATAATACATATAGCCGGGGATCATATCAAAATCGCCATGTCACCGTATCCTTTGCCAACGGTGTGTCGTACTGAGTCCAGCAATGATTGGTTTTCATCCCTTCAAAGCTCGCTCCAATGGAACGTTCGCCAACGACAAAAGTCATATGTGATCGTGGAGTCGGATCGCCAAGAAGGCAAAGCTGGAGACCATGAAAGACAGGAGGGTGAACCCAACAGTGGGCTCTTTGCATGCTTACAAAGTGACGACAAGCCGTCTTTAGCTTCTTTGGAACAAACCAGTGGCGAAGAAGAAGAAGAAGAAGAGGACGATGATAATCAAACAGTAACGGCAGACGATGAAGAAGAATTAGGAGTGCCCATATGGACGGATGAAGAGATTCGGAATTGGTGATAGTGACGAGATGTTATATCCTTTGCCCCCTTGTTGCCTTTAATATAGATGGTAATATATATAATGAATTGTACACACAAGAAAGAGTTGTTTTGTTATTTTGTGTCTATAGTGATACATTGAGTATGCCCAATTATAAAAACACTTTTGTTGTTATTTTCCCCTAAACTTGTCCAAAAATTATGCAGATAGAATGCTTGAAAAATTACTGAGATTCAGTAGCAGGAGCAGCGGCTTCTTGTTCTGGTTCAGCAGCAGCAGCAGCAGCAGCATCAGTGGTGGTGGTGGTGGTGGTGGTGGTAGCAGGGGCAGCAGCCTTCTTTTCGGCAGCCTCAGCCTCAGCGTCAGCAAATTTCTTTTCCTCTTCCTCCTTCTTGAGCATAGCCTCAATCTTGGCCTGTGCCCGCTTCTTGTTCTCCTCGGTGACCTTGGGCTGATCAGCCAAGTACTGCTCCTTGCGTTCCTTGAGCTTTTCGAGCGTATCGGGGATATCCGAGACTTTGGTGGGTACGGTGACCTTGACTTCAAAGAAGCCTTCCATCGTAGACAATGGCAACTTGAGCGCATCTGCAGTCTTCTTTTCCTTGTTGTTTGCTGCTGGTACTGATGAAGCATTGCCACCCTTGCTACCCTTCTTCTTCTTGCCACCGCCCACGAAATAGTCTTCCTCGCGGTCCGATTTCTTGACCAGTGCCACACCTTCGGGCATGTTGAGCTCACGACCACCGGGTAACGTAGCTTGTTGCTGCTGTTGCTGTGTTGTTGCTGCTGCTGCTGCTGCTGCATCACCACCCTCCTTGTTGCTGTTGTTTCCGCTCAAAAAGCTTTGCAAAAAGTTGGACAGGTTGTCGCACAGTGTGATTTCATGTTCGAATGCAGGCAGTGCAGCCAATTCGAGTTCCTTTTGAGCAGCCTCTTGACGCTTCTCCTGTTCCATCTGTTGCTTGCGCAACTTTTCTTGCTCACGCTTGTAGTCGCGCAATTGACGGACAAACGTATAGTATTCGTCATTAGCCTTGCGGTGTTCGTCACGCATGGCGCGCAGTTGGTTGTATTCTTCGTCCAACAGTCCCTTGATCCGTGTTCGCTCGTCGTACAGTTTGTTACGGACTTCTCGTGCTTGGTTCTGATCGGTTTGAATCGTCTTGAGCTCGGCATTTGCCTTTTCGTATTGCTCACTGTATTTCTTCGAGTCGCTGTCGTCAATGTTTTTCCGCAGTTCGTTATAGATTGTGCGTTCTTTGTCAATAGCTTCTTGTTGTTCGTCCACTCCTTCCACTTGTGTACGGCTGCGCTTCAACAATGAGATTTCTTGCAACATCTAGAAAGAACCCATTCACGTGTTAACATCAATCTGCTAAACCTCTCCCCCCTTCACATATGTCTTTTTTTACCTTCTTTTCCTCGACAAGTCGTACACCACCTTCGATTTTGCTTTCGAGTTCATTGATACGTTCATCCACCTCAGCAATAGTCTTGTAAGGAACCTTGGCTTGGAATGACTTGATGTTGTTGACCTAACGATAAAAACACACCACATCAGTATCTTTGACGAACAAGGTCCGGACGGGAATGGTTTGATCCCCCCGTGTTAGGCCGCCGTCTTTTACCTTCTTACGGATCGAGTCGTTCAGTGCATCCAATTGTTCAAACACGGCTTGCTTGCCCTTTTTTATTTCGGCTTGCTTATCACGCAAGTCGGCAAGTTGAGCACGGAGCTCATCCCGACGAGTGTTGTCTGATTTGCCAGGTAGCTTGTTGATTTTCTCCTTGACTGCATCCTAGGTAGCAAAATAAAATAAAAAACATTAAAAAGACGATTCTGAACATTTCCCTCTTCCTCCTTGATTTGCCGCTGTTCATCTTTATATAAAGGATGATGATGCGTGCGTGGGTTTCTTTGTATTTTTACCTGCTGCTTCTTGAGCTTGTCAATGCGCGCGTTGAGTTCTTCCAGTGCCTTTTTATGTTCCTCTTCGTTTGGTTTCTTGACGTGAGAAGGAAGCTTGGGTGGGGCGGCAGCAACAGTAGGAGAGTCAGTCATGATGAGAGAAGAGAGAGCGGGGATGTACAGGTAACAAAAGGGACCGAATAAGAAAACAGTTGAGTTTATTTTTTTCTCTTCCTACTCTCTTTCCGTCCGAAAAGAAAAGAGTGGAAGGTGATGGTATCACACAAAACGCCTATTTCGTACTCAGTTAGTGGAGGTGAACCTATTGAAGGAAGCCACCTACGCTGAGCGGCGCCCAGCATATTCAGCAGCAACTGCTAAACACAACCTACCCAGCCATTTTAATTTTTTCACGGACACGTGACCTAATCACTCTCGGACAATTGAATAGCCGGTAGAGAAACGCCAACTTTATTTTTGCATTCTTTATAACAACTCGATTACCTCACATCGCAAGTCAACATCGTCGGTAATGGATACTCAACATAAACACCAACCTCTTACTCAAGACAATCACGAGATGGATCGTATTATCCGTGATAATGTTCAGTTTTGCTCTATCTGCAAGTGTGAAAACCGGCCTGTTGAATTGTTTGTTGCCAAGACACGAAACTACAAAACGTGTAGATTGTGTCGTGAACGTCAGAGTGACGTCGGAAAACCCATTCCAGACCAATCGCTCGTAACGATGGAAGAAGTAGAGGCTATGATCCCGTCTCGTAGTGATTTTCCAAACGCAAACGACAATCTTGAAAGGGTACTCTCTCGATGTCTACGTTCAATTCGATGATCAGCTGTCGACAATGCCAGATCAGGAGTTTACTGCTGCAATCGTTGACCGCATTCAAACCATCGACGTTTACAATTACTACCATCTACTTCGAACCGAACCCGGGAAGAAGTTTTCTTGGTCGTTTTTGCATAAGTGCTCTTAAGATTTCGATGCGCAACACCAAGTTCCTGATGGCGATCACGTGCGGTTGCATACGCGTATGGAGACATTCCTTTGTGAGGGTTATATCAAATTATTAGTCGACAAGCCCAATGGCTATTTCTATCTACATATCGAGCACACGCATGGACATCAAGCTGCTCCAATTCAGGCAATGCGCGCTGTATTAACTTTTTTTTGCTTGCTTTATACTCTTAATTTCATATGATTACTTCTTGTCCTGACAAATTATCCAAAATACTCGATGTTTGGTGAGCAAAACAAAAGTAAGTATGCCGCGTAATAACCTGAATGTGTATAAATTATCCAGTAATTGAGAGTGCAACATAGACACCATGTAATACATAAGTAGAGATGATTGTTTTACGGCCGATCTGAAAAAAAAAGCTGGCGTTTCTCTACCGGCTATTTAATTGTCCGAGAGTGATTAGGTCACGTGTCCGTGAAAAAATTAAAACGGCTGGGGCTTTATGCTGAACACAGCTGATATATATTGTGTTCCCAAAGGCATGATATCGACCTTCAATTATACGTAGGAAGTTATATACATTTTCTGCAATATAACATTTGTTCAACAACATCGACAGTGTTACGACATCTAAAGAATACTTGATCCTGTTGTGAACTAGTACAGAACAAAATGAGATGCCACCATTACTGTCAACAGCATTTATTAATCTCGCCAGGCGCTGAATATAAGCTTACATTTAACTTCTCCTAGCAAACTTGTTGAGCTAGTCGCTTGTTATTGATTATAGATACTCACAAACCACGCAAACCAGGTTATTGCCGAGATTTACAGGATCACTCTAATCCTCTTGTTCGCAAGCCGCACATTCAAGTTTATTCTCTCTTTATTGATGTGAACCATGATCCCGCATCATGCGTGTAACTTGAAGGTCGTGTAATGCAATATTTGACGCCTCTTCCGTCTCGGGCATTATACTCTTGCTCCACATTGTATTCGGTACAGTCGTTCCTTGAGTGACACATTGACCTGGTATAGTATGTCTGATTGAGCAAACTTGGCACTTGAATCTGCTACCCAAGCTGCTATCGTACGTATCAGTGATGTGCTATGATATTTCCCTTTACGTGTGCCTTCCGTCAACGCGTATGTTAAAGTCTTGCAGCTGGTTTTGGTGCTATGTAGTATAGATTCAGAAACATGATGACGCTCTGACCTCAGAGAATTATTGCGTTTAGACCCAACCCATTCTCTATGTTCTATGTTCAATGTGCTGTTATCGTTGTCCTTATCATGCTCCAAATGAGTGCTGAAGGGAAGAGAAGGAGAGATAAAAGTGAAGGAGCACAACAATGAAAAGTAACGAAGAAAGAAAGATAAGCGAATACAGTCTATCATATACGCTGACAGTAATCATCAATGGGAATAAGACTTACTGTATTCATGTCGCTTATTACTAAATGATGCCTTTTCATATTCATTCCATGTAAAAGCCTTTAATATTGTCCATTTATTGTTTTCATGTATCCAACAGTAATAAGTTTAATTGCGCTGTTAATTGACATAATGCATAATTATGATATAGTCAATGTTCATGAAAAACAATCACCAACTAGCTACATTTTACGGAGTGTATACATTACAATGACGGTGACTGGAGCACGAGAGACAAGCAAAAGGTGAGGATACAATGTTGTGATCCTTTCCCGGGCCTCCTTGATGCTTTTGGACCACTTTAAAGTTATTACCATAGATCGCCTCAATCATCCAGGTGCTGACTATGATGCAATATATCCAGAACCTGCTCCAGAGGATGCACTCCTCTGGTACTCGTCCTTACAGCATATTCTAAAGTGTCCTTCTTATTCTCAATATCCGTCTCCCTATTCTAACTAATGCCCCAACACCTTCATCATCGACTACAAACGTCCATAGTTTTTTTTTCACATATCTAATAAACTTCTTTTTCTCAAATTACGGGGTATCCCTCATTTTCAATATCCTCCCCCACTGCAAGGAAGCGACCAGTTACGCAAGGTCGCCAAGTCCTCCATAAATAATTAAATCATACATTTGAACTACGATGTCGCGATTGTGGTGCCATTTCTGCGCTTTCTTTTTTTTTGTCAACACCGATAATGTTCTGTATATTGAGATCAGGAGCGGCCTTTTTTTTAGCTTTCCATTAACAACACACAGTACTTGCGCCTCTTCACTCGCGAAGTTTAGCTGTACACACTCGTTAATTGCAATCTTGGCATGTCATACGGTAGACGGTTAATAATAGATTATGATGGAAACATCTCGAAAAGATGTTGCAGAAGACGAGGGATTGTATTTACCGGGCGTTGTTGCGAGCTGTAGCACCAATCTCCCGGGAAATACCAGCGGGTCTTTGTCATCATCAGCGTCGCGAACAAACAACCATTGTATCAATTGGCTCTGGTATGCAATAATTACAATTTACTCTTTTCGTTCATAGTAGTAGATGCATATACAGAGTTTTTACATGACCTATGTCAGTCTACGGGCATTAGATCAGTTGAGATCGCGGTCGATACCATTAGCCGTTTTACCAAGCAAGAGGAACGTACGGCTCGTACGATTGCTCTCCGCAACAAGCAATACCAGTAAATAAACTCATAATAGTATAGCCTTTCCTATTTTATCCATGATATTGATTGTGCTCAACCATTAAGCTACTTTTATTACCCAGAAACCAATCCATGACCGTCCAATTGAAATCATCAAAGAACAATCAACGACGCTGCTGTAAAAGCAGCAATCACAAACAGTGAACGCGACGGATATCAGCACGGATGGCATGTCGCGTACGGTGAAGGCAACATGAAAGGTTGGGTAAGCGTCCCGATAGAAGTAAGTTAAAAGCTAAGCTGTACATGGACCTATCTCTGGCAATATCTACTAACGTATATATCGCGTAGCTTATGCTTTCCGGACCTTTTGTGCCGCTTTGGCTTGGCGTGCTCTTCTTGTCACACTACCTTTAATTATCTAACGTACCTGTCATAATCAAGGCGCCTTGGCAAACGTTGTGTGCAACAAAGTGTGGCTTGACTGTGTTCGCTTGAAGTGCACAACGAGGATTAAATCCATATGTAGCTTTAAACCTGGAAAGTGCATATGTAATAGCCATATGGAGAACTTTATTGCCGTTGTTGTAGTGGTTGTGCTTAAGCATGAACCGGGGAGTGTATTGGAATGAATGCACCAATCTTCCAGTAGAGAGTTCCAGATTGCATTGCTAGATCTAAGCAGTGCTACTGTCAAAGAACAAGAGTCAGGATATAGACGATTGTGGAAGTGCTGCACCACATTTTACATTGGTACGGTCTAAAGGCAGAACAGTGTTTTCCCAGGTTAGGTTCACTGCAGTTGGCGTGTAGTAGAAAAGTATGTGTGTGATGTAATCAACACGGAAAAGCAAAAGAGCGGGATGGTTTCCTTAAAAGTGACGAGGCAGCTGACCCACACAGCAGCTGGCTGACATGCATTAACCATAAAGAACGAAAACTTTCTTTTTTGAAACTCTTTCCTTCTCTCTTTCTTTCTTATTTCTTTCCACACCACATCTCTTTCATCACTGATTATCTACGTATAAGAAACACGCACTTCTTCCATTTGAAAATAAAAAAGAAAACCAGCTGCTGCAATGGACATGAAAAAACAGCCAGCAGAGCTATCATCAGCACCATCACCGCCGCCGGTCTTGCACTATAACCCGCCCTCCAATGATTCGCACACAAAACGATGGGCCTGGGTCGGCCGTTTCATCCTGTCCCTGGCTGCGCTTGCCTTTGTCATGCATTGCACCTCGTCCACTCGCTTGTCCCAGCTGTGGAAATCACACAACAGTCCCAAGGAACACCTGGTTCTACACACCGGCTTCCCAGCCATCGGCACGAACATGAACGGCCAACCGATTCTTCCCAAACAAGGTGCCGCCATTGCGTTTTCTCCAGGCGCCAGTGCTGTCAGTGCCCAGAAAGAAAGCTGGTGGGATCGGTTGTTCCCTTGGCGCCACGTCCATCTCAAGTCGGTCCAACTCGCTGTCCATTCATCATCATCATCATCAACAACAACGTCAGACCTCAAGGCCCGATTGGCAGTATGCACGTCAACCCATGACTCACTGTGGCAAAACATCCCCGATGCATCCCAGTGTGTTGCATCCACTTCATCGTTGTCTGTGTTGGACCCCATGGACGATCCAGGTGTGTTGGAATGGCATCCTTCCGAAGAACAAGAAGATGCCATCGTGCTGCGCAAAAAGAATGTCTACTGGCTCATTGTTCAGACGGAGCAAGACGAGTTCGATTGGGTCTATGCATTGCCGTCGGATGACTCCCTTGGCGACAATCGCGTGGCCTATGAAACACAGAATGGTTGGAAGTTGCAGCAGGACGAGCTTGTTCCAAGTGTAATGATCACCGTGACTGATCATTAATAGGAAGAACGATACCCCGTCACCCCACCTCTTCTCCACCTTTTTGCTTTTCTGACTCGTCGCTTCATCCACTACTGACGGATGGTGCAACTCTAGTATAGCACATACACCATTTTTTTGTACCTTTTTCTCGTGCTCATATATATTATATAAATTGATTTCTTTTTTGACTCGCTTGTATCATCTATATGGCCTGCATATGGAAGACTACGAAGTTTCTGTTTACTATGGCGTGTATAGGCAAACACCGTTTCCCATGCCAGCTGTTAATCTTTGTTTATGCAGGTCGTCATGGCGAAGACGAATTTAGCCCGAGAAGACTTGATCGTTACACAATCCATCAACGCCTCGGAAGTTCAGTTCCGATTTAGCTAGGTTTTGGCATCGTTTTTATTTCGCTTAAACTGACATCTATGAATGTCAAGAATAAAGAACCAACTTTTTTGAAGCAGTAAAGAAAGGAATATGCGAGTAGATCGGAGCCGTTGTGCTCAAATGTATGCTGTACTCTATATTATTATTATGTGTGCATCGGAAGACAACGGATGCTTGTCGTCTAGAATGTAACATACTTGTTTCAACAGCACAGCAGTCTTTTCTGCCTATGTCACAACAGACACAATTAGAAAAAAAGTCATCAACCACTTTATTTAAAGATTGAGCACGATCAGCGTTAGTTATACCTTTCTTCTCCACATACATTTTTTTACACGCGCATGTCAAGAGTACAGTATAGCATCGTATCGACACCGGGGTCCAGGTCTTATCGCCTCGCCCTTTCTACAATCGATGTTCTCGTAAGGCTGTACCTATGCTTACTCAGAACCAAGAGATCCGTCATTCGCCTGTGACAAAATAGGTTGCAAAGCTCCCTCACCAGATCGAGTCATAAACGGCCAAGAGTAAATACATAGATGCCGACTAAAAAGACTGTAATCCACTCTATTGCAAGCTATCAGAAGAGCAAGGCGATCTCTACATGTGCCATCATATTTTGACTATCACAAGCTATTATTTATTTTCTTCTGACGACTGATGCTTTCGAAAATGCAACGTTGTTCACAATTAACGAACGGTTGTCGCTATTACATGAAGCTAGTCTGAGGACATGTTTTTTTTTTTACCAGGGGGATAAGAAATAGTGTCAATGCGAAGTTTCATACTAAGCAAACAGCCTTTCTTTGATTCCGTATTGTAACATTGTTGTTGGCCTCCTCTCATATCCAATGCAAAGAAGAAGCATAAACGTGCGGATTATCTGTCTTTTTTTTATGCTCACATAAACTATCAGCTGCATTGATAATAGCCGAACCACATAGCGAGCACTGCTCAAATATTTTTTGAAACCTTACCAGCCAACCGATCCAACCGTCGAAATATTCCTCTAGATGAAGACACAAAACAAGGAAAACGAGTCATCAAGTATCCTTGTCGCCTACTATAAATCTTTTCTAAGTGCTACGGAATCAAAAGTTAATACACAACGAAGCGTCATCTTCTAGCGTATATCGTACGAAACATAAGGCTTCTCCACCATCTTCAGCAAGTATAAAACCAAGACACTTTACGCATATCGTTTTTGAGCATACGAGACATTATACAAAATCGTTTGAAAGACAAACATTTTAGAAAAATTATTCTTTATGGTGCTATACTTTGATATCAATCGAATTACATTGACAATCTCGCCAACACTAGCGAACGACAGTGGTGAAAAGGGATCTAAATGAAATAGAACAAAGTTACATTTTTGAAGAACAATGAAGAAGATACAGTATTCGAGGCAATGAACATCACCTAAACTCTTTCTTGCCGTGTGACTCTAACATAAATGAGACGCCTCTCCATGATTGAGACAGGAGTTACAGCTTTCGTTAACCGTTATTTTTCTCTATCGTACAATCCCGGAATTACATGAAAGAATCAACGCTATCACATACTAGCCTGGCCCAGCAGCCGAGATTCGCTCCTCCGTACACGAACCCTGTGTGTTTAAATAATCACATGGAGAAAACATCAACAATGGCCTAGCTATTACATGATTTATCCAAGCTTATCACCTACCCTCTGTAATGGGAAGGTAAATCTGATTTACTCTATTGTTCCTTACTACTCCTACCCCTCGCCAGCTTTGCCACCGGCAGATCCTTAATAACTTCATATAATCTATTGTAGAGATAGAAGATGACTGGTCTTGAAGGAAAGACTCATGAACCCAGTAAAAGAAGGGTTGATTATCTAATAGTCCTTATGATTCTATCCACTTTTAAATGAACACACGGCGTGCTGTTTACAACCAAAATGTATACAGCCAAAGGCATCTATATGTGCATGAAGTATTTCCAGAGTATTTCTTTCACCACGACAAACAATTCATATACTCGTATGGGTACTGCAGTGGAAAAAATGATTCATTTCAAGGTATCCTCCACTATATAGAAATTTCCCATCTTGTGCAGACCGTAGAAAGAAGTATTTTAATTTAGACAGAAGGGACAGAGTTGATAAGGTCTTTACTTGTACTTGTCAAGGACGTGCTTTTGTCATCTTCGCACCTCCGGTCTTGAGACCCTCCGTTTTGCTTCGTGTCAAACGTATGGGACTTTTGGCTCATCGGCTCAATGGATTAAGGTTTCGATGGGTTATTATCAAAGAAAAACAAAATTTGTGGAGATCTTTTAAGCAAAACGAACTCAATACCGAGCCCTTTGTTATGATAATACTCGCATGTTTATATGTATAATTGTTCGAGAAAATGTACATTGTAGTGTATATAGAGCAAAAGTAAATAGATACATGTATAGTAAAAAAAACAGTTTCCGTATATTTTCTTAGTTCTTCCTTGATCCGCTGATGTATATAGACCAGCAAGCACCTGCTAATGCCATTGCAGTCCCAAAAATGTTCTACAATCATCATTTGAGTCACACATACCAAAGAGTGTTCATTTTCACGCCACCACCGAGAATGGCTTTTTTGAATAACTAATAAGAAGACTGGAAACTTACCATTTTCGATAGCGGATTGCCAAGGATCGCCGCTGCAAGAACGGTCTGCAGGCATACTTTGACTCCTGCCGCCGATGTTTGCATAATGGGCGATGACAGTTTTATCAGAACGACTGTGAGTAATTGCAATCCAAGGCCAATTGATCCGGTAAGTACCTAAAAATGTTCCGGTTTATTAAGTCCTTTATTCCTTTAATGTTGTTGTTTCTCCAACCATCTACATCTACCACCATGACAACAGAAAGATCAAACTAACCATTTGGAACCAAAACCCTAATTCGTCTATAAAAGCCGGTACCGGACCAGGCCAAGTATGCCAGTTATAAATGCTAAATGGGATCATGACTAGAAAACCCCATCCAGAATTATGCCGTAATAGTGTCCTACAAACGATACACTTCCTTTTTTAATACGTTGGATGGATAAAAAAACGAGAGAACATAGCAATATGCGTTACCATGGATCCATTGTCGATGTCAGGCATTTTTTAGCAAGAACACCATAGAGGGCCAAAAAGAAAGAGTTGGCAATACCCAGCCATGTACCGCGCCAAGACGTTATACCGAACCCTTCCGCAGAAAAACAAGATAGCCAGAACCCAACATAATACAAAACACAAGCAGCTACGGTTCCAATCGCTGGCGTCGTTTGCGGAATCAACAAGATATGAGTCAAAACGAGACTAAAAGGGAGTGCGAGTGCTGTAAAAACGTGGTAGGCGTTGATGGGGACATGAGTAAGAAACAGCGGATTCACCACAAGCCATCCTATATAAGCGGCAGTTGCGGGAACCAGTAGTTTCACTGTCGCTGCTTTTGCTGTTGTTGTTGGTGTAGTAGATGTTTGTGGCACTGATGACAGTGCAAATGAAGAAAGTGATGCAAGAGGTGTTTTTGTGATTAGCCAAGCAATGGCAAGTTGAATGCAGTTGACGACATGGGGAAAAGGAAATTTGTATTCGGTCCGTGTATATAGAAACGACACGAGAAAACTGGCGAATAATGAAGCGGCAACGTAGGCAACGAGGTAGTCGAGACGCGTGGAAGAAGAAGAAGAAGACGACGACGACGACGACGACGACGACGACGGAAGGGGTCGTTTCGCTGTTGTGGCAGGGAACGGCAGCATCTGCCCGGGAAAGGCGGCTCTCTGTCTCTCTGGGTTTTTGATTTTGGGGTTGTAGGTGATGTGCCTGTGAAACGCAAAAAAAGAAAAACTCCTGCAGAATGGAGTTTCACTATTACTGTGCTGCTGCTGATGATGATGGCATCTACGTAATACACACACACAAACCCCAAGGAGGTGTGAAGTGAGTGCATATATGCTTCTCTGGTGTTCTCCGGACCCACCAGCTAACTATGTGCTGCTGCTGCTGCTGCTGCTGCTGCTGTGTACACATACAAGCATACAGAGAGCATACACAGACGCATGATGGTTATACAATGCACGTGTCCTGGTCATAAAGCACTCTCCAGTCCTGTCTAGTCTTTTTTCGCCTTTTCTTTTTCCGTATCTTTACACTTTTATTTCCTCGATGGGTAAGATATCATGATACTTCTTTTCCAAAACGAAAAAGTTTTATTTCTTATATACACTGTACTCATGCGCTTCTCGCCCACTTCCGGGTTGACTGGTATATGTATGATCTATGTCAGCTGCTACTGAAAACAAACTCGACAGCTTCTTGTCCCACCGTCCTGAAGCCCAGGAACTCGTCGAGAGAGGCATCATGAAGGGTATGTATACGTAATAGTAGTGTAGCTGTTGTTGCTGGCGTACAACGAGCAAATATGATGTAAGCAGTAGCATCGACGTATGAAATGAACGGTGTACCTTATTCCACTGTTACTATCCTCTAATAGATCCCAAGGTTGCACCTGCCCTTCAACAACATATGGAGGAGCTTAACAAGGCCAAAATCCAAGACTCGCTTCGCCACAAAATCGACCATCGTCCCACACGCGAAGAGCTTGTTGATCAGAAAATCCTTGGTAAGATCACATCATCGTTACTGGCTCATAATAACGGGGGGTGGGGCGTGGCCGTTTGCTATTGTTAAAGAGAGAGAGAGAGAGAAAAAGCCGGGCTGTGTATAATATGGGTGACGACTGCACTTGGGCTGTTATTTACAACTCAAAAATGCATAAATAACAGAGCCTACGATGGGACCTGCGTTTCAAAAGATGCAGGATACTTTGGAGAACAAGATCGGTGACAGACCTGAGCCAGAGAAGCTTGTTGAAAAGGGCATCTTGTCAGGTAAAGTCCATGCGCATTCACACGACTGTGTGTGCCCATTGCGTAAAGAGAGAAAAAAAGCGTGATGGCGTGGATGGGGTTGATATTAATTCGTTGGATTTTATTTGCCAGACGTCCCCAATAAGGAATAGGCTGGAAATGAAAGGCTCAACACTCCCCCCCCCTCGCACATATCACACGCACCACACCCTCCCCTTCTTTGGCTGGCGGTCTGGAAGAGGTCTTTTGTTTTCCTTTTTGATCTCGAATAAAAACAATCTGCTATATCCCTCGCCCTCTCACTTACTTCTTCTCTCTAAACTCTATAATCAAGATTATTCAATATGTAATGTGTGCTGCCCCATATACTGATGTGTGTGATTTCAACTTGAAAGGGGTGAGGGAAAGGTCGACGATGACACCACCACCACCACTACTACTACTACTACTACTGCTCCTGCACAACTACAATCGCCTCGATGTTCAGCATATATAAGAGCATTTCTCGTCTACAACGCCATAACAATAAGGAATTGTGTACAGAAATTAAAAGTGTATATCATTTGTGGACCACTGTTATTAGAGGGCAGTGTACTAGGTTCTTTAATCCTTCTTGCACTCCTTGCTAGCTGTTTGTTTACGAAATAATACATTGCATATGCTTGACTTGAGCTCCTTCTGCACCCGGTTCTCTTGGTCGGGTCCATCGTGGTTTGCCTTGAACGTATTTTGGTGGTGGAGGTTTTGGAGCTTCTGGTGGCGGGCCAGCATCGGCTCCCGGAGGAGCAGTCTGTGGTGGTGGACCGCTTGCTGGAGTAGGAGAACCCGCTTGAATAAGTCCTGGAACCATCGCCATACCCGCAGGCTGTGCTCCGTTGGGGGCCCCTGCTGGTCCAGCAGCGCCAGCAGGAGCTTCAGGTATTGCTGATGCTGACATTGGTGGATAGAAAATAAAATTGTTCATATAAGGATTCATGATGGTAAGCAATAAATGTTGTATGGAAGAAGGTGTAGCCGTAGCAGCAACAAGTAGCAGAAATCGCGATAGTAGTATAGAAAGAAGAAACGAAAAAAAATAGCCTTTCAGAATTCGTACACAACAACAACAATTGCTCCATTTTTATAATGCTCACGGCCACCCATTCGTAGTAACAACACGTACCTAGTAGTAGCAGTGGTAGCAGTAGTGGTACATAGCACCAAAGGGAGCTTGGCGAATGACTAACCGTTCCGAAACTTATCGCACCCCCTCCTTTTTTTCCTTCTTGTTCGTTTTTTCGCACAGACCCACAGAGACATCGTACATGTCTAGATTGATTAGGAGTCCTGCCTCCCCCCCCATCTTCTCATTCTCTCTCATCTCATGTTTATTTAGTACGTCTAAACAACATCCAAGCCCATATAACAAATAACAGCACATCATTTGTCAAATCTTGTTGCTTACCAGCTGACTCTACTCTGTACATGATCATGACATACCGCCTCTGAGTGACTAGCTACTGCGGTTCTAACTTTTCATGTGTTGTGGGCCACTGTGCTGTAGAGTATAAAGTGCACATAAAAGAAAAGCACCAATGACAATTGGGTTATGGTAATAGTACACGAACAATAGGCTTATGACGATCTTTATTTGAAAAAAAAAACAACACGAATCGTTATGATCATGCAAGATATATCACATTATAGTGCACCGATCGCCTTCTATCTGACGCGGATTATACATGGTAGCATCTACCGTCCGATGCTTGTGCTTGGAGAATGGTGAATTTTGAGGGCTGGCAACATTGGGACTAGCTCCTGGCTGTGGTTGCTCTGATGGCGTTTGTTGTTGCTGTTGTGGTGGACAATAATATAAATAACCGCCAGCTGGGATTTGGGGTAAGCTGAACGGTGGTGGAGGTGGGGGTGCTTCTTGTTGCTGTTGTGATGATAAAGGTGGCGCGGGCGTAGTTGGTGCGCTGTTTGGATAACCACCGGGCATGTTACTACCATGATGATGATTGTTGTTCGCAGCAGAAACTTCGTAGCTCGGTGGTGGCGCTGGCGTTGACCGCGAGTTTGGCGGTGGTACAGAAGACGGTCGTCGTTGGTTTCGATACTGTTTCGCCTCGCGGGGACTCCAGAAACTAGGGGTCTTTGGTATCAGGGACTTTTTGGCCAATGCCGCAAACGATTTTTTCTTTTTCAGTTTTGGGTTTCTCTGCTGAGCAAGCGCGCCAGATTGATCTGCCGTAAATGCCGTGATAGACGAATAAGCATCGTCATTGTCGTCATAATAGTGGTGCTCATATCGTTGCTGTTGCTGGTGTGGCATGACAACGGATGCATTGGATGATGGGTGTTCTTGTTGATATTGATGTTGTAGTCCGCTCAAAAGGGCTGCTGTTGGTGGCGCATAGTACGACTGTTGTTGCTGCTGCTGCTGCAATAAAGGAGAAGGCGGTACACCATTGTTGCCGATATTGTGATACGATTGCATGGCAGCTGCAGGTGCTGGCTGTTGTTGTTGCTGTTGTTGCCAGTATGATGTGAGCAACTGTTGTCGCAGCATATCAACTTTCTGTTGTTCATTCATTGTGTTATCTGTTACAATGAAAAAGAGAGAAATCGGAGAGGAGACGAGCAGCTTTATATATAGGAGGAATACTTCCCCGGTAAACTGTTATCGGTTTTGTAAAGGCTTCTATCCAAAAACGGAGTGCTTGTAAACAACACCTATGTTTTTGGGCGATCTTTTTGCCAAGACCATTTGCCCAGCTTTTGAATTTCTCGCATGTTTAGGCTTATTTTTGCCCAGAACTGAGCCGGTGCATATTACTTTTTTATTTTTTTTTCGTGTATGCTTGAAGAGTATCACTACTATTGAGGAGAGCTGCATGTAGTTCGGATTAGGAAAGCGCGTGTTTTGACGGTGTAATTCTGTCGTTGTCGCAATAAGCCCCACCAGCTCTAGACCTTTTCCTTTCAAGATACTTGACTGTTTTCAGCGTGCTATGTCGAAGATGGGGGGGGGGTAACTTGTTGGAATATATTTGATTACATCTAGCACTAGCAAAGAAGAAGAGGGATGGTTTCTGTATGCACCGACATGGTAAGTAGTAGCTAAAAGACAATACACATGAAAACACTTGTTTCTTCTCGTTTGCACTCTCATAAACTGAAAGACAAGTAAATTGATTACCAGTAGGATCATATGCCTAAATCCTTTTCAACCATTTTCAAGTAATCCAACGCGTTTGGCCAGCTTTGTTTCCGAGCAGGAGGGTGAGGAGGCGTGGGAGAAGACTCGTGGATCTTATTGCGTGGGCGTTTTATACCCCTCGACGGCGCAGTAGTGAAGCTGGTTTCAACAGCGTCATCAACTGGTTTTGGTGCTTGACGAACAAAGCTCAAGTCCCCAAAGTATGATCCACAGACACGAGTGCGTTGTTGTAAACATAGTAAGGGCTGTCCAACAAACTTGAACAGTGCGCTATTTGGCTTAATGTTGCATGCAGGATTACGCTGCTTGGCAGCCAAGTATTGCACGGGTTGTCGCTCGTTGCCAACTTTTTTACCGTATATACGAGACCATGTAATTAACAAAGGAGTGGGGTTGTCGTCGGCAACATACAGAGGCTTGTGCTTTCGTATGGGTGTAGATATTGCCATCTGTGGCCTCAATGAGGGTGGTGGGGATACTGCATAAAGCACCTCGTATTGATATCGTTTCATAAACTGGATAGCGACATCGGTCACATCAGTATATGATAAATCAACAGCTTGAAGCGTTGTGATTTTGACCAAGTGCTTCAGGCACCTATCCGATAAAGTGTTTGCAGAAAGCCCAAGTATTTGAAGATGATCTAATCCATGAAGTTTAATGTTGTTGTTGCTGTCTGTTGCTGATGATGTTGATGATGATGATGATGTTGACGACGACGACGACGCCAAGTCTGTCATGCGCGCCAGATGTGATACACCCACGTCTGTGATTTCGGTACGCGTCAAATCAAGCACTCGCAAGTTGACACATGGTTTGAGTAAGATTATAGCACTGTCATTGATACCGCTAACGCATGACAAGTTGAGATGAGTGATGAATCGAGGTATCAACTGCGTGGCTTCTCGCAGCGAAAGCATGTCGCGTCCGACTAAGCTGACGGCGCCAAGATGTTCAGGAAAACGGGCGCCATGAGCAGCACCAATCCTTTCATAAATGACTGACGACTTGTTGCGCGATTCTTTTTCACCGATTGCACGAACAATGTCCAGTACAAACGGATCAAGTGGAATGTTGCTCCAGTCAGTAATGTACTCGGCGTGATCAGCAACTGTTTCTAAGCAGATTGTATAAAGTGTCTGCATAAAAGAAACAACTGGGGCAGGAGAGAAAGAGAAAGAACACGGTGGGGGGGGGGTGGGGAGTACAAAGTTTGTTTTTGAGAGAACGCAGGTACGCAGTATGACAATTCTGTGCAGGGGAGGGCGGGGGGGAAAAAGACAGATGGATGTAACGGTGTCACAGCTTTGCTTGGAAGAGAAAAAGAGAGAGAAGAGGTGGGGGCTTCGAGCAGTTTTTTTTTTTCGAGCAGTGACTCCCAGAAAAAATGATCGGAGCACCAGCGTCGTGCAAAAGTAAAAATTGGTTAAGGCGTAAAAGAGGAAATCATCTAACCATCTCCGCTCTTCAACAACACCGTCCTACCATATCATCGTTCTGGTATTTCAAAGACTTCCACGGTGTGTAAATCCGCAGTGTCATAAACGCGCTTCTTGTAGTAGTAGTAGTAGTAGTAGTAGCAGCAGATAATGTCGAGTTCTTGAGAAAAGAAATGAGTGTTTGTTCGGTGAGCAAAGATAAAGCGATCACGCCCGTCCTTTATAGTAACTTTATCTATGATGACGTGTGTGCGTCCTCTAGCTATATATATTCATAGAGCTCCATGAGAGGACCCAAGATTGATATTGTTTATGTGTTCTATTAAACAGTTAGGAGACACACATCACACACAAGTTGTAACAATGGAAACTACTAGTTCTTGGCTCATGTTTTCCATTCTTTCTCGCGCGCAAGTTATCAATATCACACGGATACGCCAAAGATGCGCACGTGCGGTTCACTGACTATAATCATACAACGCCGGTAACCTTTCTTGGACTAGAATACTATTACTGTCCGTCCACTTACCCAAAGTGTCAAAAACGGATTGAAGACGGTACACACAGCACGTCACTTTGTCAGCATCGTTGCAGCAAGTTCTTGATATAGGCGCCATTCATACGCCGCGCCTTTAAACTAGGATTGGTAAGCGGATGAGGGTTATCTTTTTATGAAAAGTCACCCATCATCAGTTTGGATACACTCTGCCACGATTCGTAAAATACGTCACATTGTCTACACTGCTGCGTTTTGAAAGTATTTCTGCCACTGTTCCTGCGTTTTTGTTGTAACCCATGTTTATGATAGTTCGCAGACTGTGAGTACGTGTCTCGCTCCATATAATGCTTCTGATTGCAAGTATACATTATCATGCGTAGCGCGTAAGTTGCGTTATTTGCTAGATGATGATGTTTATCAATGGCCCGATTAGTATCGTTCAGAGAAGAGCGAGATATGACTAGTGTAGCGATTGTACATGTTATTTTGAAATGTAGAAGATTTTCAATATACCCATTCTTTTAAGTATTTCAAAAACAGGCAAAAAAAGCCTGATCGTCTTTGTACTTGATGATAGTCAATTGCTTTTGCTTGGTTTGATGTAGGCGAAATGACGCGTTGCAATCCAAGCCGGCTGCTGTTGCCGTTGACCGTAAATTCTTCCGTGTATGCATATTGCTGTCCGGTGCTCTTTTGGCGCCAACTGTCAGAGACGCGTAAGCATGCCGCTTCTTGTTTATGGGTAGCAGCAGGATCACATTGTATACACATGTAGTTGGAAGTCTACCCACACTCTGGACAAGAAGCAAGTGAACTACATGCAACGCCTGTTCTTTAAAACATAAAAAGCTCACTCATAAAAACTTGTCTAGAAGATATTAGAAGTTTAAACAGTCGTCGATCTTATTCTTAAGCCTTTACTATTAAAAACAAGCATAAATCATGAGTCATATTTTTAAAGATACGGCCTTGTACTCTTGGCTAGTCTATATGTCGAGAGTATCTTATCATTATGTTACTGCAGGTCCAACCTCCGTTTGCATGAACGGAGCTTTCATTGGACAAAAGATATCATCGCCGCGCAAAAAGAAAAAAAGGCTCCATTTCGCCTTGTAATGTGAAGAACTCAATGAGCTGCTAAATATGTACCGGTGACTAGCTTACTTCACGTATACAGCATAGACAAGGGAGCTCAGTGTCGCAAAATAGCTCTTACAGAGAACACATTAGGGAGGGTGAGGTAATGGTAATGCGCAAGAAAGAAAGGGTTGAAGCTCCGTCTGCCCAAACAGCGGGGCAATAAATTTCGAGATTGACGCGTGCCTCTTTTTTTTTCTTCTTTAGCTCGCTACCATAATGTTCCCGCCCACAAAGCTACAACTCATTCACAAGGAACCGCAACAGCAGCAACCCCAACCGCAAAGCATGACTGACAGAGTCTTTAAAAAGCCTGTCAGCCGCTTCAATCGAGCTCGACATGGAGCATTAACGGCATCATTGCAGCCACCTCCTACATCACTCGCACCCGCAATTACCCCACCACCTGCAGTTCCATCAGCACCTGCAGCTCCCGCAAAGCGTGAGGAGCCCTCGGCTTCCCCAACGCCAATCAACACCGTGCTTGGAAAGTTGATGGCAAAGAAAAAAGAACAGGAAAGTGAGCGTAAGCAGTTGCGCATTGAGAAAATACAACAGGTGCAGCAACAACGGTTGCATGTCTCGCCACCGCCAATCTCTCCTTCCCCTCCCACACCAACACCACCACCGCAGCAACAGCCTTATTTCGACGAAGATGTTGAAATGGAGGATGTTCTGCCAGCAGTACCGCCGCAGCAACAACAGAGGGAGGAACATAATGTTCCAAACTTGCTTGATTTCAACGAAGATGTTGAAATGGAAGACGTTGAGGAGCAGTCGGTGGATACGGAGTGGAAGACCAGTGAAGGAGATGAGATGGAGTGGGAACCCACCCCGCCCCTCAAGGTACTTTACTGGCCGGTTTATTCGTGGTAAAAAAAAAAGTAAGTACTTGACCTTGTTTCATCAGTCTTAGTTAGATTGACGAGTACCTGTTATAAACTAATTGTTGACTCTTTTAGGCTCTTTTCCTCTTTTCTTTTTTTATTGCAGTGCCGTACGACGAGAAAACACCAGAAAACCCGAAAAAAAAAGTAAAAAAGCATTACAAAACCTCTGAAAAAAAAGCAAAAAAGCATCACAAAAAACCTCTGAAAAAAAAACCACAAAAGCAAAAACACAAAAACATTTTAAAACATAAAAAATACTGGTAAGCTTATCTCTCACACTTAATTTATTGGCTGTGGCGCGTAATAGCGTGTATCATGGTTACTGACTGCGTTTCGTTGACTTTGACAGGTCATTCCCCTTTTGTCCTTTTTACCGTCACTCTGCCTCCGCCATGATCAAAACTTCCTCCGTTTCCGCCCTATTTATTTGACAAAGCGCCTTCGTGCGCTTTAACTGGACTCCATGCCCAGAATAAGGTACGTACATCCGACACACTCCGTTGTTACCTGGTATGATTACACGAGATGAATAGCTAATCATTTATTCATTAGACGAGAAGCGTCTTCAAGTGGCAAAGACAAGTTTTGAAGTTTTGATGGTGTGAGGTATATATTTTTTAAATTTCAATATACCAGAACATCGCTTCATAATGGTTTCCTCACCCTTCACTCTTTGTACTCTATATAGGAGCAGCGGTGGCCGACCAGTGTGCGGCGCAGTACGGGCGTCTCAGTAGTTGATTCTCTAAGACACATGGCAAGTGTTCCGGTGATGAGCATTGGCATTGGCGTTTGTGCTGTATGCATCTCAGCGTGTCTGTGCGGTAAGTGCATGGCAGTGGAGATATTGACGGTGTCATTTGGGAACTGTGTCGTGCAGGGAGAGTTGAGGGGTGTGAGAACAATGCGGCTTGGATCTGAGGCGGGTGGGGCAGTGGAAAGGAATGTGATCTGGTGTGGTTATCTGCGCTTTGGGATGCAACATCATCTGTTTTTGTAGGTAGTCCAAGAACAGAAGAACAGCAGAGATATACAAGGCAGTCCTTTGGCGACAATGATGGTATGTACAGACTGATTTGTTTAGTTGGTAACTATAGAAAAACGTGTGGATCTGTACTATTATCGGTATTACATTCAGAAATCACTAACGATAGATGTTCTGGAAGCATCCCTTGTAGCGGCTCTTCTTTCTTCGCAGCTGAAGCTCGGGAAAAAAAAGTCGTTATAAGGGATGAGTGTTCTGGCTAGGATGTTCAAGCCATTCTAGCCATGTGTAGATTTTTCCCGATTCCCGGTCTTGGACTACCTACAAAAACAGATGATGTTGCATCCCAAAGCCCAGATAACCACACCAGATCACATTGCCTTCCACTGCCCCAACCCCCTCAGATCCAAGCCGCATTGTTCTCACACCCCTCAACTCTCCCTGCACGACACAGTTCCCAAATGACACCGTCAATATCTCCACTGCCATGCACTTACCGCACAGTTCAAAGACACGCTGAGATGCATACAGCACAAACGTCAATGCCAATGCTCACCACCGCAACACTTGCCATGTGCCTTAGAGGTCATCTGCTGGGGCGCCTATGATGGCCTTGCAGGCCATGGGTGGGTGTATGGTGGCCCACAAGCCCAGTGTAGCACGCGTGTGCTATTCTGGTGAAGGCAGCGAGTTTATATTCTTCGGGTCGGTGGTCTCATGGTGCCACTCTCTGAGAACACAACCAAGGATCGCGTCGCTGATTGAGGTCGAGCATTTAGCAAAAGAAATACCATACCATACAATTGCGATACTTGAATGAGCAGCGGACATGAATCAAGGAAATCTCTTAAACATCATTCATATTATGCATCACATTATCACATACATTCTACAAACAATATCACCGGTAAGTTACTTTCTGCATTGTTCAAACGCCACTTTAAGTTTCGATTGACTGATCATCTAACGCTATGTTTGTATCGATCTTGTAGGGGAAAACAACAAACAAACAAAAAACAGAAAAGGATGGAGCTGCCGACGCATATACAGTGCGGCTTTACGATCCAATAGGATGGAATCACCGACAGATTTACAGTGTGATTTTCCAATCCATGATATTACCCTCCCAAACACCGCATAGTGAGATGCAGCATATACAAAAGGTACGTATGGATTGCGAATACAGAGTCTGCTGAAAATGTTGGATGGAAGCGACTAACATACCATCTTTTTTTTTCTGCAAACGTTCATAGTCATAAATACTACAACATGAATACCTTTGGTCAT